ATTGAGCCCTGCTCTGACTATGGCAGTTCCCAGAACTCCCCTCGTCTAGTCAGCCCTGCCCGTAGATGTCCACATGGAGCCTCACGTCCCAGATAACCAATGTGTAATACTTTTATTACAGAGAGACTCCAAGGTGACCAAAGGTTGAGAGGACAATATGCTGAACCTGACATGCCCGTATCCAGTGTCCACAATTATCAGCAGCCTTTAAAGAATGCAGGGGAAAATGCATTATTATTGAAAGCCAGAAAGTGTGACTATGTCAAAGGGACTCAGGAGCCACCAGAAAGAGCTCCTGATGGCCAGAGTTGGAACAATTTGAGCAAGAAGTGGGAGGAGCACCGGCTGCCTGGCCCTGTCCTAAACCTCCTGCCCCAGCTGGTGAGAGTGGAGGCGAGGTGTTTATGGTTATTGCGGGGAAGTGAATGAGGGTATCTAGGAACCAGTTAGGTGGCCAGGCTGGGCTGGAGAAGGCTGGCTGCCGTGGGGGCTGCGGCCAGCTCCCAGGAAGGCTGACTCACCACGGCCTTGCGGTGACTCAGCGGTGTCACACAGCACAAGGATGCCCCTATTCAGAGCGGGAGGGCATCGCTCTGTGTGAGACCTGGCAGAGTGGGGAAGAGTGAGCCATGAGCCTGCCCTGCTGTTTGCTGTCACTTCCCTCATCCTGGTAAAAGATGGAGGCAGAGGCTCCTCCCTGGTGGCTCCCCACGGTGGGCTCAGGTGCAGCTCTGCAAAGCTATCAGCACCACTTCTGCATGAGTTCGATCCCCCACCAGGGAGCGGCAGACCTCTCCTGATTCACCCACTGCTCCCCTCAGTAGTGTATTTCACTCAGTGTGCCTGTTCTGCTCCCCACTCTCTCTGGTGAATCCTCTCACCTCCCCCCACCACCACACCTCTTGTCTGTACCCCAGTTCTGTATGCATAAATAAATAAATTTTTTTTAAATAATAGTTTATTTTTATATCATTTTGTGCATTTTCCATCTCAGTTGCAATCCCCTTAGGCTTCCCATCACCAAATCACCCGTGTGCCATCACCACAGTCCGGTGCATTTCCCTCCCCCCACTGTTTTTGATCTCATTCCCCACTCCACCCCTGTAAAATGTCTCTCGTATATAGCTGTTCGTTATTATTATTTTCTCGTCTGGTCCATTATACTCCTGGTATCAGTGAAACCATCTGGTATTTTTCTTTTTCTTTCTGGCTTAATAAATAAATAAATATTAAAAAAAAAAAAGATGGAGGCAGGCCCTGAGGCCTCAGCCACCGTCCCTGAAGCTAGCCCAGGCACAGGTAGTCTTGCCACCCCCCAGAGCAGCACCTTTTTTCTTCCTTTGAGGCTGGGTGGTGGGAGTGCTCAGGCTTTGAGGCTGCAGATCTGGGCTTGGGTTCAGACGCCACCATTTGCTAGCTGGAAACCTTGGGTGATTCGAGTAAGTTCTCTGACCTGTTCCTCCTGTTGTAAAATGCAGATAATACAGCTGCCTCACCCACTCCATAAGGTTGAGTCAAGGATCAAATAAGGAGAGGCTCTAGGCCAAGAGGGACTCTCAGGGTTATTGTTTGGATGGATGTTTCCAGAGCAGGCATTGTCCTTCAGGCCCTGGGGCTAATTTGAGGTCAATTTGTGTATGCATTAGGCTGCTTTTGGTTGCAAGTAATAGTAAATCTTACTTAAATTGGCTCACAGCTGTAAATTCCAGGGGCAGGGAGGCCTCAGGGATCGTCTGATCTGATTTGGGGAAGATCATACAGACTCAGCTTCTTAGGCTGGTTTTCTTTTAGATAGGGAAAGGCTGTAATAGGCCCAGGGCACTCACCGCACCATCCCTCAGAGGAAGAGCTCATCCTATCAAGGGCCCAGGCTTTACTCTCTGGTCGAGCTTGGGTCACATGGGTGGCTCAGAATCATTCTGTGCACCTGCAGATTGACTTAGGCCTGGGTTACTACCAAACCCGAACAAATTGTTGAAACAAAAAGGGACAGATTAAAATGATTGACTTAAGTACATTCAGGCTTTGTCCTGGAAGTAGGAAGGAGGGTGGCAAGCCTGTGCAAGCCTCTTAGCTGCCACAGTGGGGATTGGGTGGAGTGAAGCCATCACAATAAGAAGCTGCTATTGCAGGGAGGACAGGTGATTTGCCTCTCCATTTCCTCTGAGGCTATAATGCCAGTTTGCATTTGGGACTTTATTCCTTCCCCATTCTCAGACTATGAGCCTCATTTCCCACTCATGGGAGCAGCACATGACCAAGACTTAGACTATTCAATGCAGTACAATCTGGCCACCGGGCTGCTTCTCAGAAAGACCCAGCCAAAGCCAGTGAAGTGCAATGAAGCTAGAAAGGGAGGCTAGGACATGCCAGAGGTTCATGTTTGCTGAACTTGACCCTAAAAGGATGTAAGCTCTGGAGTCATTACTGCTGCTATTTTACAACCACATGGAAAAAGCCTGAGGTTGGAGCTAACAGAGAGAGAGAGAAGGGGGGAACCTTCTAGAGCCACTCTCACAGCTAATTCCTAGATGTTTCATTTTATGAGTCATCACTTTTCCTCTTTAAGCCAGTTTGGGTCAGGTTTTTGGTCAGCTGCGACAGTGCCTTAAATTATACTACCCCTCCTGTTCTAGGGGACTAAATGCCCTAGGCAGTGCACGAGGGGACTGAGTATCTGTGCCAAACATTGCCAAGTACATTTGACGTCTGACACTCATGGTGTATGGAAGACGTCCCGGCCACAAAGGTGCAGGTGGGTGCTGAATGCAGATGGTTGGGATTTATTTAGTCTAGGCCAGGGGTAGGCAAACCATAGCCCATGGTCAAATCTGGCCTCCACCCATTTTCGCAAATGAAATTTTTTTGGAAGCCAGCCCACTTTGTGACAGTTTTGTGCAAAAATCGCAGAGCAGTATCACAACAGTGACTGTGTGGCCCGCAACGCCTGAAGTATTTAGTATTTGGCCCTTTACATAACAAGTTTGCTGCCCCCTGGTGTAGATGGTGGAAAGTAAAATAGTGGCAAATGACTTCCCCCCCAAACACAGTAGTCAGCCTTTATCCACAGTTTCATTTTCCAATTTCAGTTACCTGTGGTCAACCAAGGTCCAATCATATTATTATCCAATAAGATATTTTGAGAGACTATAGCCACATAACTTGTTACACAGTATATTGTTGTAATTGTTCTATTTTACCAGTGTTACTAATCTCTTATTGTGCCTCATTTATAAATTAAACTATCACAGGATCTATGCATAGAGCAAAGCACTGTATATACAGGAGATGGTACTATCTAGGTTTCTACTTTGGATCTTGGACCATATCCCCCTCGGGTAAGAAGGGACAATATACCTATTTCCCCAAATGCAAGCAACATTGTTCGCCATCTATCACAGACCTCAAGATTCCATTAACTTCTATTATCAGTGTTAGGAAAGCAACCTTGGAATTTAACTTATGCCAGCTAGTGAACGAGACATCCTGTGACTTTAAGGTTTGGTAATGCAGTGCCTGTATCTTAGTAGCTGGCTGGCCAAGAGTTTCTAGGTAGCCTAGGGACATGAGAACATTCATTTCGCAAACCCCTCTGAGTCAGGTTGCTGAAGCTACTGGCAAACCCCTGCAGGTCCCCCAGTGACCCACTTCCATAAAGAGATGGGATCAGTACAAACAGTGTGGGAATATAAGACAAGTTCTGTATTCCCACAACAGAATGCCAGTAATGTACTCAGTCCTGCTAACATCCAAAGCCAACGCAGTCCACACCTACCGTCAATACAATGCACTCAGGACAACCAGGGGTATCATCTTTAATTCCTGGCAATCATGCTCCTGCCAGAAGTGCCACATAAACAGGCCATCCTGGTGAAACAGCCAAGGCCATGGAACCAACCACCCCTTGGGATTTCTATTTCTAAACTCCATCTCTGTTAGTTACATTGCCAGGAAACAACATGCCAAGATGGAAGCTAGCCCTCAGTGGAAGGCCTTTCTCCTCCCTTGGTTAGATAATCAGCTCAGATTAAAGCAATCCCTTGCTCTATCCACCAGTCACTATAATTGCACTCAGTGCCTTGCAGTTGCTGGTGTTAGAAGGTTGCCTTCTGTTGTAGTGACGGACAGAATGTATTCAGCATGTTGTTCTTGTAGCCTGAGACTTTGCTGGCAGAGCAAAAGTAACCAGGACACAGGAATGACATTCCAGGGTGTGGATTTGGTTTATGCTCTACTTCTGAGGACACCCTCTTCTTTTCAATTGAGGAGGGTCAGGCCACAGAATACCCGCCTTTTTTTTTTTTAAAGAGTTATTTATTTACACATACAAGAACTGGGATATAGGCCAGAGGTGCAGTGGGTGAGAGGACTCACCACAGAGTGGGGAACAGAATAGGCAGATTGACTGAAATACACTGAGGGGAACAGCAGGAGGGAGAGGAGAGGTCTGCTGTGTCATGTGGGTGTGTCACCTCCCTGGCGGGCACCAAACTCATTCTGTAGTAGTGGCTGTGGTCACCCCCATAGTACTCTGCTTTAACCTGTTGTGCCATCAGGGAGGGCCCAATACCTACCTCGTTAGTCTCCTGTGGAGAAAATCGCTCACCAGATGTTAAAAGACATGTGACCACAGGATTCTGACCTATCCCTGAAACAGCCTCCTGCTGCTGGCCAAAATGTCCATCCACCATCAAATGCCTATTTTAGGGCCCTGCGGCACAGTCCCTGCTCACAGAACAGGGAAGCAGACCATGAAGTGCGTGCAAAGTATTAAGGCAAACTGAATTGCTCCAGGGAGCTCAGGAAACACACAGCTTTTCCACTTCCACTGGGGGAGGCACACCTGAGGGCGAAACACAGGTCAGACCTCTTGCAATCATTAACACGCCTGGAGTCTCCCACATAGGAGATGCAATCCCCGAACAGCCTTCAGTAACTCCTAACGCTTGGGCACTAAGAAAGTGTTTTCCTGCCACTGATCACAAATAAGAGACATCACAGAAAATGTTACTTTTTTATTTCAAGGAGGTAATACATAGCCCGAGATGCCAAAGCAACAGGGAATTAGAGGCAGCAAATGACCAGTTTTTGAGAGGAGCCTCATGCTGCGTCCCCAAGCTCCTGCCTGCCCACAGCCAGTAAGGAGCTGGGTCTGGGAGGTGGAGCTTGCGGTGACCAGCAGTGGACAGAGAACTAACTCAACACCCCACTGACAGAAAGGGCTCTGTGGGCTGCACAGCCCTGCCCGCCTGGTACCAGGCTACTGCCTTAGCAGCAGCCCTGGTGTCTACCACTTGATTTTATTTCTGTGAGTCTGGAGTGGGCAGGACGTGAGTAAATCCTGAGTCAGAAATTTAGGTGAAAGACTTAGTAGTGTTAATACTCTGGGTGAAGAAGACAACACTGTCTTGGAGGAGGGTGGGCTGCAAGTCTGGCAGGGATGGTAACAGGCAGATAGGCAGGGGCTGAGGGCGCTGCCCCGGAGCTATCAGAGGGGTGGGTGCATCACGGTTCATGATGGGGCGGTAAGAGGGCGGTGTGGGGCTGCTTCCTCTGGCACAGAGTCGAACTAATGGTTCATTTTCCACTCATAATTGCTTTCCTGGGTCTAAGTCAGCACACCTCGGGCTGAGGCACATCCTATCCAAGCACCAAACCTCACCTAGGGCCAGTTCTCCAGTGTTGGGGCAGGGCCCTGCACTTCAGGGAGGTCTTTCTCCCCTACCTGGCTTCTTTCCCTTGCAAATGACCAGGACTGAAGGTGAGTGCCTCAGCCCCACCCTAGTGAAGACCCAACTTGGCTTTTTTCTGAGAACTTATTTTGGTGGGACCCAAAGTACCCTAGTGTAAAGCAGACTTATTCCACCCACAGAAGGGCACCTTCCTGGTGGTTTAATGGGGACATGCAGGTGGGAATCGCAGCAATGGTCCTGGAAGCTGTAACACTCATGGGCGTCATTCATTTCAGTAAGACTCTAGGGCAGGAGAGCTGGTGGGGAGCTGGCAGGGAGGGGCTGCTCTGCCCAGCATGAACTGTTCCCCAACCAGGCTGCCAGGACTGACAGATTTTTGGTTTTACAGATACGGAAAGAATTTTTAAAAACCATGCCACTGTGCTCTCCACAAACCCAGATCCGTCAGTTTTGTTTTGTTTGACAAGAAGGGACAAAGAATCACAGCTCCACAGTGACCAGGGCTTGTGCCGCAGACTGCCTCGGCCTGACTGGGGAGGAGGGTGTGCACAGAGCCTGGCGCCTGTGTCCTCTAGTCAGTGGCAGGCTCTGCTGTTGCTTCATCCTCATGCTCTTCAAAGCCTGGGACTGGCTTCTGCAGAAAGTGCATAGTGGCCTGGATCACCTTATCCGGTCCAATATTGTACACAGGGTGGGTGGGTTGCTGCAAAGAGAACAGATGCCAGTTAATCATCCCAGTTCTCCTTGGAAATGTGCAGTCTCTGACACATGTACTTCTCAGAGTTTTGCATAAGGAATCATCAGAGATACACACAGAGATCTACCATACCAGGCCCTAAGCCCAGCAATGCATTACACACACACACACACACACACACACACACACATTTCTATGAACGAGAAGGGCTTATCCTGGGAATGCCAAGTTTAACATTAGTGTACTAATTAACAAAAACTACCAGGTTAAAGGAGAAAAACTAGATGCAGAAACAGCATTCAATAAATTTTAACACTAGATTATTACTGAAACAACACATTAGCAAACCAGGAATAGAGGGGAATATCCTTGGCCTTATAAGAAGTATTTGCCAAGACCCAACAGTAAGCACCCCCGGTAAGGTTGGATGAAATTATGGAAGCCAAGACAGGAACAACCTCTACTATTCTCCCAGCCAATACTCTACAGGGATCTTAGGCAGCCCCACAAGGCAAGAAAAAAAAATGAAATTCTTAATCAGAAAGGAAAAGCAAAAAAAAAAAAATACAGAAAATTTAAGAGATTCTAGAGACAAACTATTACAACTATTAAAAAAGTTCTGCTGGATACAAAATCAAAATATAAGTACAAGACACTAGGAAGCCTCAGTTACAAAATAGAGTGGAAAAATACTCAGTGATGAATAGACACAAAACTCTAAATTTCTTAGACATAAATCTAATAAAAGAAGTCTGACGAGGAAGTGTGGGCCCAGCTTAGTGCTGCTGTGAGCTTCACCAGAAGGCGGTGTCAGGGAGGGACTGGCAGTGCCAACCAGCGGGAACCAGACACAGTTCTCTCTGGACAAGATACAGTTCTCTCCAGCCCTGCAAGTGCAACCAGAGAAACCTAGGTGAGAATGTTCTCCCAGCACTGTCTAGGAGCAACGCCTGACACCATCTCCATGGCCACCGACCGGAAGCCCAAGAGAGAAATCAGGGAACGGCTCTCCAAGGCTCCAAGGAAGAGCACACAGCAGTGCGAAGGAATAAACTAAAGCAATACGTGAACACAGACAAGCCTCAAAAGTGCGTGGCTGGCGAGAAAGGCAGCACAGAGTAAGGGGCACAGTAGATACCATTAGAAAAAGCTAGAATACGTTGTTTATGGACACATATCTAATAGCAGTAGTACAGAAACATCTATGGGCATGATAATGTCGTATTTCGGACCAAGTGACCCTGGGCGGGAGGGAGGAAAATGGAAGGGCCTTACACTAACAAATACAAACAAGTTTAGACTGGAAGAGGCTAGTGAGGTTGTTACTCTGGCTTTCTTCATCCTTGGTGAATTTGAGCATCTTTTCCTGCTTCTGTTGGAAACCTTTTTTGACAATCTGCACAGGTCTCATTATTTGACGGCTATGGATATTCAGATTCCTGTCATCTCCTGGGACCAGGCCAAGGGCTGGATGCAGGGGTGAACATCCTGCCGCATGGGCCTGAGAGATTTTGACAAAAATGAGTCGAACACACCTAATGCAACCTGTGGCAAGTGCTATGAAGGGCACAAGGCACTGCGTGTGACCACGTTTATGAAAGGGGGCTGAGAAATCTTCTCTAGAGAGCCGCACAGAAGCTGAGATGTGCCTGGGAAGATGTCACTGGAGAAGGAACTAACAGTGCATGTCCAGGTCTCAGACTCTAAGATAAAGACCCCTGCCACAGCGGACCCCACACCTGGAACCCGGAGTTTGCCTAGAGCTGTGTTACCTCCACAGTTGCCTCCTCATGAATGGGGTCCAAACCCACAGAGGGAACAGTGAGCTCCCAGGTGGCCCACTCAGGACTCTCTTGGTGGAGCTCCCTGTCCTGGGCCCTGTGGAGAAGGGTGTTAAGCCTCCTCCGCTGGCCTTACCAGAGCGTTTTCAGGCATCCCCAGGACCACATCGTGCAACATGGCTCCACTGCCGAAGTGCTGGGCTATGGACAGGCCACTCAGGCAGTAGCAGGTGTGGTAGAAGTCCCGCGACCTGTGGGGACACAGTGGCTCTGAGCAGGCACTCCTCTGCTTCCCCAAGCCCCAAAAACGCCTCTACCCAGACTCAGAGGCCAGGGTGCACCCTGCCTCACACATACTCTGCCCTCCAGCAGCTCACTGTAGGACGCCTGCTTTTCTCAGTGGTGCTTTCCCAAAGTCCCTTCCATCGGCCCTGCCACAGTAGGGCCACCATTTCAGAGCTGGGCCCTTCCAGCTGGCTCCCGAAAGGCTCTCCAGGGTAGCGCTCTTGCTAAATTAATAGTCTCCTGAAAAATACTCAATGTCCATAAATGGGGCACTTTTTCTTGCTGGAGCGCAGCCTTCAGCTGGGCCTTCCTCTGGATGCTGACAGTAATGAGGAGGGATGTTGTGAGGGGGGCAGGAGGGTGAGGGAGGCAAGAGGCAGAGGGGCGCAAGATTGATTTAAAGATTTCCCTTTTTCTTTTATTATGGCACATAAAGGTATCGATCCACTCGTACAATAATTGATTATAATCTCTTTATGACACTCAGGGATTTTAAGTCCTACATCCTACATGTGCAAAGTCATTTAGAGTTTTTGTTTGTTTGTTTAAAAAAAAAAAAAAGGCATGAGGGCCCTCCCTGGTGGTTGCAAGGGGTTAAAGTGTAGCACTATGAAGATCGTTGCAGCCACTGCAGCACGTGTTCAACTGGCCAGGGAGCTGACCCACATGGCACAGCAGATCTCCCTGTCTTGGCCGCTGCTCCCCTCGGCTGTGTATTTCAGTAGATCTGCTTGTTCTGTTCCCCACTCTGTCTCTGGTGAATACTCTCACCACCCCCCACCCCCAGAGCCTTTGACCTATACCCCAGTTCTTGTATGCATGGATAGATGAATCTGGGAAAAAAAAAAAAAAAAGACATCATGGAAAGCTACTAGACCAGCAATCTATTTACCTCTTTAAGGAGGGGGGGTGCATGTAACCTAGGGACAAGGACGGGCACTCCTGATTAAGGTGCTTGTCCCCATAAGCAGCTGGATGATGAGTGGAATGGGACACCCTGACGTTTAAAGGTGGTACCTACTGCCACAGCTGTGAGTGGACCAAGCTGCACACCTGTCTCTGCTCCCCACCCCAAGCTCCCAGACAGTGGTCACTCACTTGCCAGGCTTATCCAGAAGCCCCCCGGCAGGGCACTGGCAGCACATGAGGATGTACTCCTGCAGGGCCTGCTGGTGAAACATCCAGTGGCTCATGCTGAGGGCAGGGTCACCTGTTGAAAGGCAAAGGTTCAGGTGCCCAGCCTGGTGAAAGTTCCGCAAGACGTTAACAACCTCTTTGTGTTTCATTACCCAGTGGGGACAGTCAAGGTTCTCCTCCTGGAATCATTTTGAAAACCACATTCTCTTTGCTCACGTGCTACCACGTGCCTTTTCCTGAAATTGGCATGAGCCCAAGAGCAGCAGTTATTCATGTGACAAACATCGAGGCCACCCTGTTACTTTGGATAACCACCCCAAGCCACATTTCTGGTGGGCACGGCCTAGCTGTGTAGCTCAGCTTTCCAGACTGATCTCTGTTTAGCTCCTACCCTGGTTCCCAACTCCTTCCTCCGTGCTTAGGACATTTCCTCTAACACAGTTCTGAACATTGCTCCCTTCACTAAGAGAACTCTTCCGGGGCTGGGGTAAGAGTACGGTAGTGTGTTTTTTTGAAGTCTGAGTTTATTTGAATCCAAAGAGAATTCTCCAATTTTCTCCTGGCATAAAACTTTTTTTCTAAGAAGTTCCTAAGTAATGGCTCTCCTGGTCTCTGGACTAGCTCAAGCAGAATCTGGTAGTTCTGACAATGCACTAGATTACTGACAAGCAACAAGTCTTCTTCTTCTTGTTCAAGAAGCTTAAAGGTCGAAGATTCTATGGGTCAAACAGTAAGTGGGAGGAGGGACAACCTGCCTGCAGACAGATGTATACAGAAACATTTACATGGGAACTGATTTTTTAAAATACACATATAGGATGTACATTAATCCTTGGTTCAGTTTTATACTTTGATATTCTAATTGCAAAGTTAACCAAACAATCTGTAAATGGCAATTGAAAGCTAATTTTTCTGTCTTCCATCTTCATTTGTTTCTATACATCTTTGTATATAATTATAATAATTATAATTTTCTATCTTATGTTTTTCATTTAACATTACAGACATAGCTTTTCTGTTCTGCTACATCATCTTCATTCCATCATTCCAAAAAGCCATTCAGGAAGCGGATACAGAAGGTAACTGCATCAACATAAGCCCTGGCTCAAAACCCTGATATATAGGAGTACAGAATCTTCTCTGGTAAGAATTTAAGCTTATAATAAGTGCAGCAAATAAAGAGGACATACAAAGAAAATATTTAATTGTGGGCTATTTCAATTAGAAAATAATCCTTTAAAAAATATTTTACATAAGAAAAACAGAAGGGGATGGTATGAAAGCAAGCACTGTCCTGGGTTGAACACAGACAGGTACAGACAGCACTTGCCTGTCGCCTGAGGCTGTGCCACTCACAGCCACTCACCTCCAACACCCAGGAGCTGAGCCCAAAGCAAGTAAAGGAGCTCAAGTCTCCCATCTCAGGCGCAGTTGGGGACACATGCTTGCTGAAGCATTTCAGAATTGAACTATTTTCTCTCTTTCTTTTCTTTCTTTTATTTTTGCCCACCTATGAGCACAGGTGACTCAGCAGAAAAAGATATAGATCATGAATGAAATTTACATGATGGGACTTCACCACATCTTTTGTTTCTTTCCAAAGTTATTTTCAATTCCTTACAATAAAAAAAAAAAATGCTGCAACAAGCATTTGTGAATTTTCTCTATTTAATTTCTTTATTTTTCACATCAGGTGGGAAATGTACTGCTGAAAGGACTAGGTCTGAGGGAATCACCTCTCTCATGATAGCAGGAGCATCCGCTCACCACATTTGGGAACATCACATCACTTTGCTGCCTTCAGATAGGATCATAGGAATGTGTTACTCAGTCGAGAGAGTAAACATTTTAGAGAGTAAACATTTTCTAAGGTTTTTAGTATACACTGAGAAACTGCTTTATAAGAATTTAGATAGCCATTAGAATTTAAAATTTTACTGTATTGTATGTCCAGCACTGGTCACTTAAGAAATTCTCCACAATAGCTCCTGGTCGATTGTTCTATTTGCATGTCTTTATTAGTGAAACTCCTCCCAAACTTTTGTTTACTAGCTGCATTTCTATCTAAAAGCATTTGTTTATTCTTTGTTCTCTAAATCCAACAGTCAATTTTATTAATCTAGCTTTTGATTCTACTTACCTTCTGATGGTATCATATGCTATACCTACTTTCTCCTGTGTTTTTGTTATTTTGTTCTGGTTATGTGAATTTTAAACAGCTGTAAATATACAGTTGACACATAAGCTGTAATCATACAGTTGATTTTTGCTTTTGTGATTTCTTCCTTAGGAAAGCACATTTAATGGGTTCAGGGTATTAGGGTGGGTGACAAAAATTCCAGAATTGATGATGGCAAAGAGTTGCGTAAATCTGTGAAGACACTGAAAACCACTGAATTACATACTTCAAAAAGCGTGAATTGTATGGTATGGCAATTATACCTCAAGAAAACTGTTATTTAAAAAAAAAAATTAGGATGACTGCATTAAACATCTGTATAAAACATACCTTTATTTTCTTATGCTTTAAGAAATAAAAGACCATTATTACAAGATAAATGATAACCTAAGGCTAAAATTGGAATCTGAAAAAAAAAATGCTATGTTTATTATTAAGAAGATTATAGTGCTTGGGTTACCCTCCTACATTATTGAAGTTGAAAAACTCAAAGTTCAGAAACTTCCAGAGATCCTGAACTTGCACACCAGCACACATGATCACAGCGAGATGAAGAGAAATGATTATAGGGTGATACCTGCACAATGGAATCAGTCTTTTAATCCTTGATACCGCTCCCTTAAATTACAGATCCCCATTACAATGTCATTTTGCATTTCAAAGGTTCCTTTAATCTAAGAAACTGAAAATCTTCCCAAACAGTAACACAAAGTGTAGCCACATGTGGCCCAACGTCAGCATTGGAGAATTCAGGCCCGTGGTGTGTCCCACAGGACCTGCGAGAAACTAGAACTTTCACTCCAAACACAGACTCACAGGCCTGATGCTGTCCTACTGCTCCAGAAAAATGAAACAAATCACTGACATTCCTAAGAGAATAAAAATAATTCTCTGTTCCACTCAAACACTGTCTTCTATACACAAGCGTGAGGCAGTCCCCAGGGCTCCTGCCTCGGCCACTTGGCGAGTCGGGCCCCAGCCAGGGCTCCGAGGCTGCAGGGTGTCCACCCCTTCTCATGGTCTCCGTGAGCACTGTGGTCATCCCCGTGTAAAGATGTACTAATCACTTACTAAAATGAAAGTTGTAACGCCCATGGTAAAAAACTTACAAAGCCGGAGTACAGTTCAGACGGCTATAACATTTAAAAACTAAGTCTTCCTCTGTCTCCTAGCTTTCTCCCAAAGGTAACCACTGTTAAGGTTTCTCACAGGCTTCTAGGGAAAGCTGTGACATGCCATGTGCCTCTCACAGACCAGGCTCTGCCCCAGAGCTGCCCATATCAGCCCACTAAATTCAGTACTGTAAGGTCAGGTCATGTCTCCCCATTAATCTTTGGAGGCAGTGGGTTGTCTGCTATGGAAACACCACAGCCACAGGCGTCCTTTGAATACACTTCAGTAGAGACGGTCCTGACCATGCCTTTGAGGGTTAGTATAAGTATCTCCAAACTGCCCTCCTCTCACAGTGCAAAGTACCAGTGTGCCCACACGGTTCCCAGTAGCAGGTATCAAATTTCAAATCTGCCAGTCTGACAGTAAAAAATAAATCATGTCCCACTGCTTTATTTGCATTTCTTTAAAGAGCATGTTTATGTGTGATTGATGGCACCTGCAGTGGCTACACACAGGGCTGCGATACACTGCAGGCGGCAGTCAGGTATTACAAAGCAAGGCACTTAACCTCACTGTGCTGTGTTTCCTCATCTGAAAAGCAGGAATAACACAGGGTAGTTCTGAAGAACGTAGGAGAGAATATACCTGAATTATTTAGTGTCATTCTTGGCTAATGGTGAGTGCTTGGCAAGTGTTTACAATCAGCTGCCGTGACAGCAGCGTGCTAGTGGAGTTTCATACATAACAAGTGCAATGACATCCACAGTTTAGAAACCTAATTTTGATCACAATATACTGTGACTATCTTTCAACACTGCCATTTCTTTTGAGTCCCAACGCTGGCATTTGTTTACCGCTCAAAACACTTCCCCTTTCCTGAATCCTGACAAGTCCAACATGAGCCTTGTCCTGGTCCATGGAAAAAGCAGCAGCACCAAGATTCTGGGCAACCCTTTCCACAGCAAAGATCTGAATGAAACTCGTCCTTGTGACACAATAAAATGTCAACCAAGGCCCCCTGAAGACTTTGGCAGGTAGCTCCTGTTACAGTTACCTCCAGATTTTCCTGGCAACTGCAGAATAATCTCCTCTTATTCCTGCCAAGGACGGGCTGTGAGAGGGCAATGGTTTTAACAGGGGCTCAGCGTCACTAGTTCCAAATACAGAGATCACCAAAAACCCAAATTATTTCTGGTTTGTAAAATGTTAAACTCTTGGGGAGTTCCCCACTTCCCCATTATAGTAGTAAATCAGAGACCATGAAGCTCCAGAGTCAGGGGACTGATGTCTTAATGTCCTTTAGGGCTGTTTTAACCCACTGCGCCACCAGGGAGGGCCTGTCTTAATGTCCTTAATGAAATTCCGGAGGCCCCCTGGCCTGGGAGGGACCGGGTGAAGGACTCAGGGCAGACAGAGGCATTCAGGGAGACTGGGAAGTCAGGGAAGAGGCTCTGTTTACTTCAACTCTACATCTAAGTGGCCACAACTCAAAGGAACTTAAGAAACTAAAGAAAGGGGCTCACAAAAAGCAAACAAGAAGAAACCCCATATATGGATAAATGGGAGATAGGCTAGTGAAGAATCACTGCCTACATTTGAGCAATTCAATCACCCAACTACTAAGTCTAAAGAAAAGCTTTCTTTTTGGGCCAAGGGCTCTCAGTGCCAGAACAGAGTCAGGCCTCCAGGGCAGCTGTGATGCCCTCTGCCACTGGTTTCCCCGGAGACACCTGTTCTCACATAAATGAGAAAAATGATTCAGTGAGCAGGCTGCCTGAGGTATCAAGAGCTGACACAGGAAGGCTCCCAGAATGTGTGCCTGTCCCACTGCTTTGATTTTGTGTTCCCATTTGAGCTCCAGAGGGATGAACACAGGACTCCCCAATCCAGCAGTGCAGTGGGAGAGCCTGCATTTGGGATTCTTCAATGAAGTTAAAATACAACATCCTTAGTGGCAGCAACTACACAGCCAGCCAGACTGTGAGCTGCTTCTCTGTTCTGGGTTCCTGTTTTCTGCCCCTTTATGCAATTGCCTTTCCTGTCTCTGTCGCCACCACATGCTCAGTGTGGGGTTTCAGTTCTGACATGACTGGCAAGGCTCTGAGAAACTGTAGCTTCACCCCTCGATGAGGCACAGTCACCCAGGAAGGGATCTGTCTCCTCCTGGCCACAGTCAGACTGAAGCAGCAAAGACCCCTCATCTGCTGAAACTGAATTCTCTGCCATGCATGGCCTAAGGCAGGAACACTCACAACCCAGGACAGACATTTTAACCCCACTGAAAGGTGCTCTGGACTTCAGCTTTGGTGAACCCCAGGGAAATGTGGCTCCTGCAGCAGCTCCCAGCTCACCTTGAGTGTGCAGTGCACGGTGGAGCAGGGGGAGGAGTCCCGCCTGCCAGAAGGAGTAGCAGCCGTCCACCAGCTTGTTGCAGCGGCCCTGAAATCCACCTTCAAACCGCATCTGCCGGCTTGTCACCCATTGCTGAGAATGAGACAGAGATGGGAGAGGCAGTTGTAGGCTAAAAGACACAAAAGTCAGCAAGCCAAGATCTCCAAAAGTCAATCTAGAGAGTTTTCTCATCTGTCTCTTGGCTTCTTGGCACTTAAGTCCTCAGCTGACTGCTTCCTGCCGTTCCCTCAGAGGAAGGCCACAGACACAGTGGCGTCTTTAAACAGACCTTCTCAAGGCAGCCAGCAAGGTTCTCACCTCAGTATTTAACAAACAACTAACCACCTTTTCCTGAGCCCCAAATGGCTTTTGATGCTGAGAAAAAAGAAGTCAGTTGGCTTCTTAAAAGCAAGCTTTAACTAGGAAATGTCAGGCAAGACCACCAGGGGCTCATTTCCAATCATTTGCCCTGTCAGAGGAGCTTCTTAGAAGCACAGTGGAGGTATCTACCCAAAAGACAAAAACACTGATTCAAAAAGATATGTGCACTCCCATGTTTACTGCTGCATTATTTACAATTGGAAAGACATGGAAATAGCCCAAATGCCCAAAAGTGGATGACTATATCAAAAAGATGTGGTACATATACACAATGGAATATTACTCAGCAACCAAAAAAAGAAACACATGTCTTTTGCAGCAACATGGATGGAGCTGGAAAAGATCTTGCTTAGTGAAATAAGCCAGAAAGAAAAGGAAAAATACTAAATGGTTTCACTTATAGCAGGAGTATAAAGGATCATGCGAGAAAATAGTAATAATAATGAACAGTGATATATCAGAGACAATTTATGGGGGTGGAGTGGGGAATGGGATCAAACACAGTGTGGGGAGGGAAATGCAATGGACTTTGGTGATGGCCCACGGGTCATTTGGTGATGGGAATCCCAAGGGGATTACAACTGACATGGAAAAATGCACAACATGATGTAAAAATAAACTATTATATTATTAAAAAAAAAAAGCGCCGAGTGGGATTTTGAGCTACATCTCATCAGAGGATCTCAAACTGTTTCTGACTCTTTCTTACTCGGCACCTGAGGAGATTTATCTAAGGTCACTAGCAGGAAACAGAAGCCATTTGTCCTGATTATCAACAACAGCTTTGTCTGGTCCAACTTCTGCTTCCCTCTCCAGCGGAAACTGGTTGGCTGAAAGAAGAAAATCTTTTATTCTGAACCTGTAAAATGGCTCTGTCACTCACTGACCACCCTTCCTTACTTATCGCCAAGTTCTCTAAACACACTGTGCTCTTAAGATCAAGATAGTCATGGGCTTGGCCCCTAGGAATGTGCAAACCATCTGCTTAAACAGATAATGAGCTTTCCATTTCCCTCTCCAGCCCAAGGCACTTCCAGTCACCAGTGCTGGACTTACAGAACTGCTGACCAAAGTGAAAGGGTACAAAAGAGTTATTTCCTTGAACTTGGGCTCTCAGTAGACTGAGTGGTCCCTGAAATTGTTACAGGACACGGAGAGAGCACCCCTGAAGCCCCAAATCTGCCTGCTCTAAGTGGGTTCTGCCATCTGCC